TCAAGCCTGGCGCCAATGGTCCGACATGGTGATGACCAAGCTGGGACACTATGAGTTTGGCTATTACCGTCGCCCGGAGCAGGTCGACCTTGAGGGCAGATGCATGGTACAGCGCCAACTTGGTTTTCATCTCCTACCTGCGCGAATTCCCCCTGTCGAAGACCCGTACCCCTCTTCGTATGTTGATGTTCGTGCCCCTCCACTACAGAAACTAAAGACCCAGTGGACTATCTCAGTCCAGTCACAGTTTAGTGCAGAGGAAGGCCTTAGCATTGCAATGCTGATTCAACTGCCCCACAAACCACACTGAATCAAGGGAATTTTGAATTCAATGCCTCCGACTTGAATGTGCGTACATGGTCTGCGTGAGCTGCGTGGATTTGGTCTGCATGGTCTGTATGAGCTGCGTGGGAATTTGGTGAGGTGAATTTGGTGAGGTTTGCTACCGCGTCTGACTGAGTGATGCTTGTTGACTGAACTGTGGTTGCCGTGTACGTACAGAGGGAGTGGGCTTCGTGATGTAGTTCTCAGGTCGTGTGGGCTGCTGAGTAGTCTCCTCTTGTCGCTGTAGTTGCTGTGCCCTGGTCACTGTACCGGGGAGCTGGACCGGACATTTTCTCCCGTGCCTGCACTGCTGTGCGATGCGCGTGTCTAAACCCCTTAACCCTACATCCAAATCCCGTAAACCCTAGACACTAGACCTCTTGCAGGTTGTGCTGTAGTTGCTGTTGTTAGTGCTAGTGTGTCAGTCAATGCGCTGCTTTACCGGACGGGACAGTATTTGCCGTGCTTGCTGTGTGGGATGCGCGTGTCTAAACACTAAACCCGTAAACCCTAAACCGTAAATCCAAAACCCCCCAAGCCTAAATCCAACCCCCCAAACCCTAAATCCAAAACCCCTAAACCCTAAAGCCCAAACCCCTAAACCCGTAAACCCTGAACCCTAAATCCGAAACCCCCAAACCCTAAACCCTAACTTGAAACCACCTAAACCCTAAATCTTAAATCCCAAACCCCTAAATCTAAAACCCCTAAACCCAAAACCCCTAAACCCAAAACCTCCAAACCCCTAAATCCTAAATCCAAAACCCCTAAACCCTAAATCCAAAACTCCTAAACCCTAAATGCAAGACCTTTATATAAACCCTTGACCCTAAACCTGAAAGCCCCAAACCCAAACCCTAAATCCAAAACCCGTGAGCCCTAAACCCTAACCCCTAAACTCAAAACCCCTAAACCCTAAACCCCAAAACCATAAACCCCAAGCCCTAAAGCCAAAACACCCAAACCCTAAATCCTACATCCAAAACCCCCGAACCCAAAATCCTCCCAGAATCGTGAATAGGCGAAGTGACCGTTTTTGTTGGCTTAAACACCCTAGGGCGCAGACCCTCCGGCAGGACAGCATCGTGGATTGGCTAAGTGACCCGCGTTTTTGTTGGCTAAGTGACCCGAAGCAGCTCGGGTTCCGGATTGGCCCGCGTTTTTGTTGGCTAAGTGACCCTTGGCCCGTAAACGCGCGTTTCCTGTGAGATTGCTCTGGACGTCCTGAATTCGTACCGCTTCCAAATCCTGGTTTACATGGGATAATCTCCAAATTGCACTGAGCATATCCATATATATATATATATGTATAGCTAACCCCCCCCCCTTCGATCCAGATTTA